GTTTTCTTCTTTTACCCACAATGACCTGAGGCAGAGGAAGCCGACTCTCCACATCCCGGCTGGGGTCTCCCTACAATAGATGCTCCTCCTGAGTGTAGGGCGCTGAGGACACTAAGCCCACAGCTCAGCCCTACTGAGGGTAGAGGCATTCTCTATATTGCAGAAGAAACACTTTGATTTAGTCCCCCAACCTTGGTCCTTGAAATGTTATGGGAACTAAATTAATTTACAGAAGGCTTATCTCCTTCCATAAGCCTGATGTTCAAGACAAAAGTCTAAACTAAAAAAAAAGAAGAAAATCCTACCTTAATAATCAAAAGTTGAACATGAATGCTCTTTGCAGTCCTGCTAACAACAGCCCAATCATTAACCACTACTTTCAAACCCCCAGGGTGAATAGGTCCACTGACAAGGGAGATGGTCAAGTACAGAATGGCAGAAAAGGGAAATTAACAAATGTAAATTACATTAACATTTACAAGCCTATACTACTCCTGTTTGGTTAGGAAAATGATTTTATAACAATGGTAAGAAAATGAATTCAAACTCAACTGCCTTACTTGGCCACTTCTAAATAATTTCCAAAATTTATGGAATAGATTTTTCTGTAAAACTCCTTTTTTCATATTTGTGTATATATTACACCAATAATTTAGCTGTGAATTATGGTAACTACTAGAACAGTATCTGAACTGCTTTAACCAAGAAATTTCCCTCAACAGACCACATTACAGTAACTATCATGTAATATTTCAACAGTTTCTACCTTTGTGATTCATGGCAAATGCTTAAAATGAGGTGGAATTCTGATTGGGAGGCATGATGAAACAGGTAAATTTTCTTTTCTGTTAGACACTGTTATGGGCTGAATTGGATCCATCCCCAAAAACATATGTTTAAGTCCTAACTCACAGAACCTCAGAATATGATCTTATCTGGAAATAGGGTCTTTGCAGATCTAGTCAAGTTAAGATGAGGTCATTAAAGTGGGTCCAACCCAGTATGACTGGCATGCTTATGTAAAGGGGAAATTGGGGCTCAGAGGTGGACATGCACAGAGGGAAGGTGGTGTGAAGACAAAGGGAGAAAACCTGAGGATCCAAGAGGCTAGGAAACAAATTGTCCCTCACAGCCCTCACAAGGAACCAGACCTGCCCTCACCTTGATTTTAGAGTTCTAGCCTCTAACACTGTGAGACATAAACATCTGTTGTTTAAGCCAACCAGTTTACGGTGCTTTGTTACAGTAGCCTCAGGAAACTAACACATGCACAGACTCTAAAAACTGGCTTGCTGTGTTTTGAAGCACCTGCGAACATACGAATTTAGCCAGCGTCTGCATCACATTGCAAGGCTGAAATCTTCTCTTTGAGAGAGAGGAAAACAGGCAGTTTCAAATCCTCTCGGCCCTGGATAAGTTAGACATGCTATCATAACTCCCCAGAAAGAAAAGAAAGACTTTGTAGGTAGAAAATATACAAAATATCTGGAGCTGTGTTTGGAGGAAACCAGAGACAGAGGCCTGCCTAGCTGAACTAATGGGAAAAGAAATCAGAAAACATTTTCCTACAGAAACACAAAGTATCCAAATGGGAGAAAGAGGAAGATTTCAGACCACAAGGAAGAGAAACTTTTTTTTTTCCTTGAAGATGGACATGTTTTTTAAAGAGGGGAAAAGCCACCAGCAATAATTAAAATACTTAACCACAGAAACAGATGTCTTTCTCAAAGCCATTTAAGTTTATTTTACTAGATTATTCTCATAAGCATATACTTAAAATTGATATGCACAAGTATCTACTCACAGATATTCAGTAGATTCTCACTGAATGGATAGTGCCTCTTACAGTCCAATCAACAAAGCATACAGCATCAACGACTGGCTCAAGACTCTCTACTGCTCCCTGGTGGCAACATGCACATATTGCAGAAGCAAAATAATACCTCAGGGGCTCTCATGAAAAATACCCGTGACTCAGTAACAAGAGTCATCCATGAGAAACAGATCATTCAGGAAAATAAGAACGTACAGTGAGAAACACACTGGGAAGAAGAAAAAGTGCACTTTTCAAGAATGGTCCAATCATGAAAATATAGCTTCTGAAAAAGTAGAAAAAAGAAGTTTTGTCTCATTGGTGCAGTGAGTTGCCAGATTTCAGAATCCGCACAATAACCACAACAGACTCTAACATCCCATGGAAGACTTCATATTTCACTCTCTACGTCAGAATACAGTCGTTTTCAACAGTCCATTTATTAAAAGTCCATGAAATGAGGTCTAATCTAGGAACGGTATAAAAGAGGGTGCCTTTATATCTCAGTGCACCCATGGCTGAGCGAAATTAGCACTCAGGGGCAGAGCTGGTTTTCACATTCTCTCTCAGGTTGAAGCCAGGTCTTCCTTTTTTTTAATTCAGCTGCTCTTGGTGGATTGGAATGGAAAGAGATACAGTGAAATACATGGCTGACCATCATCAGGGACCTAACACACACTTTTAACCTCCCACTCAAAGGACAGCAACCCCTTGATGGCATCCTGGGCCAAGCAGAGATGAATGGAAGCAGAGTTCCTTATCTTAGTAACAACACAGGCTGGGTAATACTACAGTGCTCTGAGGGAAAAAAAAAAAAGTAACTAATGGAAAAGGATATTTCCTAGAAACCCACAATATTTGGACAAGCTTATAAGGCAGGGAAAACCATCAGAGTCATTCTTGTTTCATCAGAGTGTCTCTGATTTTGCCAATTTCTCTTCTACCGCGCACATCACGTTCATGAAAGAAAATGGCTGTAGGCACAAAAATGAGTTCCTATTTATGCATGAGTCCGACAGCTGTGTGTAACACCCTCTTTGATAAGTAAAAATATATATATATATATATATATATTCTTTAAAAGAAAACCTTTCCAGTCAAGGGAGATCAAAACCTTTCCAGAAACTGAAGTTAAAGCCTGGAATTGTTTATTAAATCTGAGGAAACTAGAACTCCGAGACAGGAAAATAGAAGGCTGCGTACAAATTCAGACAGTGGCAACATGCTGCTAAAATGCATTCTATTAAGAGGTGAATATATAATTGGGGCAAGAAGGTGTGAAGTAATTTTTAATTACACAGGTGATATATGACTGTGTTTTTTTAAGAACTATTGTAAGTATTAAAATATTATAAGTAAAACTAAGATCACTCCCCCAAAGCACCAATTCCCTCTAAAATAGCCATTGTTTCCTCAGTGTTTTCAGTTAGGAATTGTATCCTCTCAAATTTTAAAAAAATGTATACACACACATACTCATATACATACACATGTGTGTGTACACATACACTTGTAGAAGTAAACAGTTTATGTGTTTTTATGCATGGGATCAATAAACAGTACATTTTCCATGCTAATACTTTCACCAAACAATATCTTAAAATTTTAACCTTTGTGGCTATTTCTCCCATCCCATCACTGTACTAATGTCTCCTACTTGGTCAGATATCTCCAAATTGACTTGAGAAGAATACAGATCTTCTGAGTAGGAATGAGAAGAGAATTTTTAAAAAGGTTGTGTGTGTGTGTGTGTGTGTGTGTGTTTTATCACTTGAGCATCAAATGGGAAAACCCTAAGAGAAGCAAACCAAGCCCAGAATTTATGTATAACAATGGATGAGAGAGAACAGAAGGAAAGAGAGATGACTGTTGGCTTCCCCAAAAGCCTTTCACAAAGCTCCTGTCAAAGAATTACATTGGGTTGACACTTCAAGGGTCTGACACAGAAGTCATTTCAATGTCTAGGAATGGCAAGTCATGTCCAGGAATGGCAACTTAAACGTCTACGAACGGCAACTGACACTTACACCTTCAATGTCAGGAGCACATCAGGGCCTGGTGTGGACCCTGGCAAATGAGGACATGTGCCCTAATGAAAAGGCTGCTGTTACCCAGCGGCAGCCAATTATCGCTATGGCAACATGCAAGCTAGTTGTCAGATCTTCCCATTTTTAAAAAGACGCAGGTAAAAATGGTGGTATTTTAATATTATAATCTCTTGATTTTTTTCAAGGTTGACTATTTAAAACCCAAAGATTCAAAACAACAACTCCACCCAGACCGACCCTTGGCTGGTCACACCGTAGGCCAACAGGACGTCAGTTTGCAACTCTCATCTAATTCCAAAGGTATTTCTCTGCTGGCACAACCGATGTCTCAATGAAACACTCTTTGACAAATTAATGTGGAACACAGACAGTTCTTTTGAAGGCACTGGGTCTTTTCACAGGTAAAGAAATCCCTGGCAATTAGAGCTCTTTTCTTTCTTCCCTTTCCATCCTGAAGTTTCCAAAAAGGGATAGGGCAAAACCATCCACTGAAATGCCCTTTTTTGCACGTCTTAGGTATTTATAGTTTTATCAGAAGAATTTCAGATTGTGTCACCTTGGAAATATATTGGCCACTACATTTCATATCCTCTGAGTGAAGGAAGATGCCCCCGATGTACCCAAGAGAGGAAACACAGAGTCGTGGTTACAAGGGAAGAATAATTCTTGTGAGGGGACCTCGTGACAGGTGTCCGGACAAGGGCTCATTATGAGACATTGCTGAGGAAACAGGAAAGGGGGTCAAGGAAGGGGGCCTCTGTCTTCTCTGCTCCCCTTTGCAAGGACAGCAATAGCACAGTCGTGGTTTAAGACACGGAGCATTTAACCACTGACCATTTTCACTGAAATCCATCTGGAGGTTTAAAACTGAACACAGCAACTAGAGGTTATATACATGCAAAAACAATCATTCCCCTATAAAAGTGAAGCTTGTTTTTTAACTATTGGGGTTGGGGAACAGAAACTACTTTAGAGAGATGAACAGTTTTTAAGAACTGACTGTCAAGGTAAAAAATATTAATGACACATGCCCTGTATAAAAACAGTCACTGGCTGCCTACTAAACAAACGTGTTCTTTTTAAAATTCAAGATGTGCGGGGCCCCAGATGCATGACATTTATGAAGGGGCGCATCCTACCTTGAAGATGAAATCAGCCATCAGAGGTCCTGGAATCTTAAAGGCTTGCCTCTCGGAGCCCCTCTGAAATTCAACTGTTGTGTTTTCTACAACAAAGGCTCCAGGGCTGTTAAAGCTGTGCTCTCCTTTGCTTCCTTGAAGTGTTTTTGATTCAATGACTAAAATTTAAAAGTAAAGTTTCAATGAGAGAATATCTTAAAAGCATTTTATTCCAAAAGATATTTTACTACAAGTAATAGCATCTGATATCAACACAATATCAATACATCCACTCAGTTTACAAACATTGATCCAAATTGGTAGAATAAATATATAAGCTTCTTAGTTATCTATAAAAAGAAGCAAACAGGAGTGCTAGGTCCAGTGAGGTCTACCCAACTCTTTGGAGTCATTTCTGTAATAAGGGGAAGAAGAAAACATCTCTTTCTTTGTATTTTTTCATGATGTAGCTATTACTTAAAATAAAGCGATGTTACTCATTTTCTCACCCATTCAGATAGTAAGCCTAGACTTTTATTTAGACAAAACCACAATAAATTCTAAATTTGCTTAAAAATTTTTTTTTTTATTTTGAAGTAATTGTAGATTCACAGGAAGTTGCAAGAACAGTAAAGAGGTCGTGTGTACCTTTCAACCAGTTTTACCCAATGGAATGGTTACATCTTACCCAACTATAATACAATATCAAAACCAAGAAATGGACATTGGTACAATGTGTGCATAGAGTCCTATGCCATTTTGTCACATGTGACCACAACCAAAATACAGAACTATTCCATCACCACAAAGATCTCTCTCATGTGTCACCTCTTTATTCACATTAGCTTTTAAAAGAACAGTAGTGCTTTTAGATCTCTTACAGAACAATGCCGACGGTTTAACCAAAATAACACTTCTACCTTATTTCAGTGATTTCTTTCTTTCCCTTCTCTTTTTTTTTCTTTCATTTTGTAAATGTCACCATTCTTAGTGGACCTGGTCCACCTGCATTTCTGGCTCCAGATCTATTCCTAACTCACTGCCTTGGGTTTTCATTGCCTCATTTCTAAAACGAGGAGTCAGAGCAGGCAATCTCCCAGGTCCTCTGCTCCTCAGACACCTACACTTGACTCACTGGTACTCAATGGTTCTTTAACCATCTCGAACAAAGGACACAACAGAACCAGAACTCCATTCCATCTCAAGCTTAAAAAGCTGATAAAAACACAACAAAATGATCTAGATTTTATGAGGCTGCGATCCACACGTGCTGTGCTTCGGTGGTGTTCCTTTGCCGATTTCCCTCTGCCACCGGAGCAGCTGCAGGAATTCAAGCGCCCTGGTCAGATTGCATAACAGGCATCAGGAGACAACCCTGATTATCCCTGACAGGCAGGCTGGGAACTTTTCTGGGAAAATTCAAAGGCTGGACATGAGCTCCTTGATCTGCAGGAGTCATTAGCAGTCAAAGAATCATGCTGGGTCCTCTCAGGCACACAAAACCCCTACCACTTTGGCCCTGATCTCCATGACCGCAGTAGATTTTTGGAAAGTGTGAGATTAAATTCACTGCCTAGTTCCAATAAAGATATAAACCAGAGGGTTAGAAAGTGAACTGTCAGTAAAAATGAGACGGGAAACTGGAGATGGTAGGAGATGGTAGGAGGGATGAATTAGCCCTCTAAAAGTAAAGGAGGGAAAATCATGAGCATTTGGGTAATATCAAAACACAACATGAAGCTGGACAAAATCCATCCTCGCAAAGAAGAAGGCATGCAAAACACTGCTTCTAGACCGAGACTTAGCCTGCAGTGACTTGATTCAATTCAAATAGAGTGCAATGGATTCGATGGCTGTGACTGTTCTACCACTGCGCTAACGTTCTGGATCAAAGCTCTCCAAGTTTCATCCGGCTGCAGAGCTACGGCAGCGGCTGTCAGAATCTGGAAGTGCCATCTGGGGGGAAGGGAAGACCAGGGTGACATCCATCTTTTAAACCTGTTAGTTTGGTTTTGATGTTTTGTTTTCTGACGTTGAGTCTATTCTATTACGTCAAAGGTGTCCAAGATCTTTCGTGGCAAGGATGTGAGGACACAGGAGCAAAACCAGTTTTCAAGTGCATGTGAAGTACCCAAACCACTCTTCTCCGATTCTCATAAAATATCTTTATATCAATTATTTCAAAAGGCTTCCCACTCTCTGGGTCCCAAACCCTGGCTGCCTACATAGGAGGTCAAAAGCAGGTGCTCTGACCTCAACTGTGTAACTTGAGTCAGAAGTGGGTGGTCAATAAAGACAAGGGAAGTGATTTGATGAAGCCAACTTTTTATAGTTTATGGATGCAAACGATTCTGATAGTTTGGATTAACAAAGCCCCTGTGATGAATTCACAGTGAAGTGGAGGTCAGTGTTGCTCTTCAAAAGCTGTCATTTTTATCGGTGGTAAACTTGCTTCTCCTCAGTGCCTGTGCCTCTTAAATTGGCAGAAAAGGAGTTTTTGAAAATCAACAATTCAGATGATGTGTTGACTTACGGATACGTTTTTTAAGTTTTTATTAGTGTCTAGCACCCCATGTGTGTACTGCAGCCCTGTGTTGTGATGTGCAATTCACAGCTCATGAGAGCCGCACACACAGCCCTTCAATTCTCAGAGCTTCCACAGACCCTCTGCGGTTTCTACAGCAAGACAGACTGCTGAGTGGAGACCCCAGGAAATCTATAAACAGCCCCACCACTGTGAAAGGCAGAGGGTAAGAGCCTCCTTTCCTGCTACCCATTGCTGCCTTTTTTCTCCTCTTCAGGCTTAAAATGATGGAGGTGGCAAGGAGCCAAGAAAGAGATGATCTGTATCCTCGAATAGATAAAAGAGAAACATCGTATGATTTCGCTTATATGCGGAATATAAAAAGAAATGATACAAACAAGCTTTGGCATTTATTAGCTGGCTCAACAAAGAAACATATTGGAAATCCCCTCATCTTTGTTGCTTAATCTGAAAAATGAAGTTAGTGTTGTTGTGAGAATAAATAAAATCACATACAAAAAAAAAACAGGATCAGAAATCAAGACCCTCTTAAATCCCCAAACCTTTACAACTCAAGTCTACCATGGTACCTTTAAATATTTTGATCCACACTTGTTATTTTTAAAAGAAATGACTAGAAAAATGATGAACGCTGCTAACTGCTTCTAGTTGAAGGGCTTGCCCTGACAAGTATCCGTCCAGGCTTCTTTCGAAAGAGACAGGGTCATGCTAATCATCCCAAGAGGTCTCCTTAAATTCTAAGAAGGCCACAAAAGTATTGTTAGGTAAACATGTAATGAGCATTTAGCACAGTTGACTTGGTTATAAACACATCAAACTTATGCTTCGAGCTGTATATTATAGTGTATGCATACTTTATTCAGTATTCATTTCCTCTGATTAGTCATTATGTTCAGGGTTCATGCTTATATTAATACATCTCTACATATGGTCATCAGACCACACTTAGGGGACCAAAAAAATCCCAATTCTTACAATTGATAATGGAGGTTTTCAGTTTATGGCATCTTGGCTTCTTGAGTTTAGTGCTAGTCAAAACACATTTAATGCTGAAGTTTTGCTACAATAAAATCTCTTTTGCAGGAACCCTCTTATTGTTTCCATTTTTGAAATTTTAGGGAAATCTGGAGCTGTGTGCTTGATATAATGCTGAAGCCAAGCTTGCGAAAGGACTAGAAATTCAGTATTTAAACACCTCTAGGCGATATGCAAGATGGAAATTCTGTAATTAAATTCCATTCCACAGCAAAGAGACTAACAGTACGCTGCTGGGTGTTCTCAGTTCTTAACGATGCAGCCTTTTGGAGGGTGCATATACGGATCTTAAAAAGAACGATTTATTACTGCAAAGTGAGCTTCATTTCAGGAATATATCTTTGAATAAAAAATTAAGAAAACACTTGTATACATCAAGAAAATAGAGCCGCTTCTATATTCAGGTGTTCAGAAATGGTAACTAAATCCTTTGTAAATGAAGCCAGTTCATTCTATTCACTGGCAGAGAAGGGTAACTTTCAGAAACACTTCTAGAGCCAATTTTGAGATTGTTCAGAAGGAGATATAATCCAAGCAACAGATCTGTCACCTTTGGAGAAATGGAAATATAGTTGAGCTCTGTCCATGGAACCATGCCGGTCTTGAGTACAAAGTTATGTTTAATATGCCAGAACACATTGGTATGTAAATGAATATTCTACCTCAAAGTATTCATCTTTACCTAACCTGTTTACTGTGTACTTATTCTGTTTTTAGAGCTTATAAAACTCTTTTTAGAGCTGAATGTTAAAGAACTGTCTGTAGTATCACGAGAAAATCAGGCCCAGTCACTGCAATTTTTAAAATTTTTTTAAAACATCTTTTTGATATGCCATAAAATGCACCCATTTAAAATGTAGTTTCATGGCTTCACAGAACTGGGAAACCATCATCACAATCTAAGTTTAGAACATTTCTGCCACCCCCCCAAAGAAACCCCATATCCATTAACAACCCCAGACCTGCCACCAACCCAACTCACCCCAGCCCTAGGCAACCACCAATCTACTTTCTATCTCCTTAGATCTGCTTTACTCTGGACACTTTATATAAAGACAATCATAAAATATGTGGCCTTTTGTGACTGGCTTCTTTCACTGAGCATAATGTTTTCAAGGATCATGTCTATTGTAGCATGTGTCAGTACTTCACTCTTTGTTAGAGCCAAATACGATTCCACACATGCCCATTTTATTTATTCATCAGTTAATGGACATCTGGGCTGTTTTTACGTTATGGCTATTATGAACTATGCTGCTATGAATGTTCAGCGCTTCACAGTTTTGAATCCAGGATGCTATCTTACAATGTGATCACTCACAATGATTCACAAAATTGGGATCTAAATGATTTTCACCTGTTCTCAAACATCAAGTTTGCATTTACAAGGATGAAGATCTACTCTTATCAAGAGCTGTGGGCCTTAAGCCATTTTAAAAAGAAGCCTAAAAAATATTCTGATGCTTCATTGTAGAGAAAGCCTTGAGTGAACTGACCATTATATGGCTATAAACACTTCAATATTTTAGTTAAATACATCAGTCACATTCTTTTAGTCATAATTCATATAATAAAGTAAGGGTTGAAAAAGACTTTCCAATAATTGTCCACCTCATTGTCCTAAAGATATTCTCTTGCTTCCCTAATTTAGGTCATAATTTACTAAAGAATTTCTTTCTTTTTCCAAGATGTTAATCTATACCCTTGGTGACCTTAAACATTTTGATATAAACTTTTCTCAAAGGACATTTCTGGTTAGACTATCGGTACTGCAGCCACAATATACAAACACATATAACACACATGGACAAACACATTTAAAAGCTACCAAAAATGCTTGTGTCCCTGAGAAATTTTTACGATTTGAAAATCTAAGATGGTGGCTCAGAAAAAAAATGGCAAACTATGTCACCTTTTAATCCGGTAGATCTTGATTTGTGTGGCTTTAGAACAGTTACAAATAGTGTTTCGTACTTTTTACAGAAAGATAGAGCTGAACACAGTTAAGCTTCTTCAAGGCCAGGGGCTCAGTCTTGACAAAAACTCATTTTCCTGGGAAAAAAGACAAAGAAAGCCCTGCCTATGGCCACAGGAAACCTTGGGAGAGAAGCAGACAAACTTTGGTATTTCTAGTTCCTTTGGGTCCTAAGAGCCCAGAAAAGCTAAGACAGAAAGATGCCATGTCACTTTGGCCAAAGAAACAATACAATTTCAATCCTCTATTGTTTCAGACTCTTAGTATTCTGGGAAACCAGTGTTTACTTTCAGTGCCCCCTAGACCTGAGGTTGTGATATGCTGGCAACGGAGCATGTACTTGTCAGCTATATTCACTGATACAGCTCTGTGTTTTAAATTTCGTTTTGTTATTTTTTATCCCAAACTGCTAAGATCTCCAGAAGACTCTAGACTCCTAGTTTACTCTCCACACAAAAAATAGTTTATTTCACATATAACTTGATTTCCTCTCCCATGAGGAGATTAATTTCCCACTAGGGCATGAGAACTAAAAAATTCAGGGTCATAGATCATTCCCTAGTGATATAGACTATTTCAGACTGGTAGAAGTTCATCTACCTACCTGTTAACACAAAGAAATATATATATGTTTTTGGCTAAATAAATTTTCAGGAAAGAAAAACATGTTAAGATTAAATTCTACTTACAGAGATGTGCAGGTCCTTTCACTGTAATTCTCACACTTCGACTTCCCAAAGGAACAGCAATTACATTTTCTTCCCCTAAGAAAGAACACAAGACAAATGTAATGAAACTTGTGCACTAAAGGGCCATCCAAATAAGCAACTCAAAACTGGGAGCATCTGTCAAGTGTTCTTAACTATATTTCATTTCCATCTTCAGTCAAGAAATCTGTGGAAAGCAGCTACTGTGTATAAGGAATATTAATACTAATCACATAATTTCATTTAAATACATTTTTAAAAAACATTCAAGAAAAGTTTAAATAAATGCACTGGTCTAACTGAGTGAGTCCACAAACTAGGGCCCTCAGGTCATACCCATTCATCTGAGGCTGCTTTTGCCCTACAAAGGCAGAGGTGAGTATTTGCAACAAAGACAATATGGCTCACAAAGCCTAATATATTTACTATCTGGTCCTGCACCAAAAAATTTCCATAATGCCTGGCCTAGATAATTACCTAGTGGAAATCCTGGTCCCTGTCAACTTTTCCTTCATGCCATTACACATTTTGAAATTAATTTTCATTGGCACATAATAATCTAAGGGCATATGAAATTCTATCCCCCAGTCCCCTATTTGATCATTAAGTGTATTATTAAATGATATTAGTACATTATCAACAATATGAATTACTTCAAGCAGATGTTGTGTTTTGTTTGTTTAACTTACAGAGAACCATTTGTTTTGAGAGCCTCTGGGGTGAAACTGTTGGATCAAAGGATGTCACTATGTTTGTTGACTTGTTCATAAGTTTTATTAAATAAAAATACCTATTTATTACTGAAAATTAGAAAATGCATAAAAGCATACCAGACAAAATGAAACTATTTCCAGAGATCACCACTTCTAACACTTTGAGAAATATCCTTTCTGGATTTTCTGTTTGTTTTTAACATACATACATTAAAAAAAAGCGCAATGAACACTACTTAAATAGCCACCATTTGGGGAGGGGTTAAATAAACAATAGTATATCCATACTAAGGAATACGCTACAACTGATAAAAGTAATGATAAGAAGCCACATTTTTTTAACATCTTTATTGGAGTATAATTGCTTTACAATGTGTGTTAGTTTCTGCTTTATAACACAGTGAATCAGCTATACATATACACATATCCCCATATCTCCTCCCTCTTGCATCTTGCTCCCATCCTCCCTATCCCACCCCCTAGATGGTCGCAAAGCACCGAGCTGATCTCCCTGTGCTATGCGGCTGCTTCCCACTAGCTATCTATTTTACATTTGGTAGTGTATATATGTCCATGCCACCCTCTCACTTCATCCCAGCTTACCCTTCCCCCTCCCCATGTCCTCAAGTCTCTACATCTACGTCTTTATTCCTGTCTTGCCCCTAGGTTCTTCAGAACCATTTTTTTTTTTTTAGATTCCATATGTATGTGCTAGCATACAGTATTTTTCTCTTCCTGATTTACTTCACTCTGTATGACAGACTCTAGGTCCATCCACCTCACTACATATAACTCAATTTTGTTTCTTTTTATGGCTGAGTAATATTCCATTATATATATGTGTCACATCTTCTTTATCCATTCAACTGTCGATGGACACTTAGGTTGCTTCCATGTCCTGGCTATTGTAAACAGAGCTGCAGTGAACATTGTGGTGCATGACTCTTTTTGAATTATGGTTTCTCAGGGTGTATGCCCAGTAGTGGGATTTCTAGGTCATGTGGTAATTCTATTTTTAGTTTTTTAAGGAACGTCCATACTATTCTCCATAGTGGCTGTATCAATTTACATTCCTACCAACAGTGTACGAGGGTTCCCTTTTCTCCACACCAGCTCCAGCATTTATTGTTTGTAGATTTTTTTGATGATGGCCATTCTGACTGGTGGAAGCCACATTACTTGATGTGGAAATACTGCCAACATATATATTGATTAATGAAAAAAGAAAGTTAAAAAACAATTATATGGACAATGATTTCTTGAATATGACTTCAAAAGTATAGGCAACAAATGAAAAAAATAAATAAATTGGACTACATCAAAATTAAACTTTTGCATATCAAAGGGTACTATCAATACAGTGAAAAGGAAGCACATGGAATGGGAGAAAATATTTGTAAATCACATATCAGATATGTTCTGGTTAATATCCAGAACATATAAAGAATTCCTACAGGGCTTCCCTGGTGGCGCAGTGGTTGAGAGTCTGCCTGCCGATGCAGGGGCCACGGGTTCGTGCCCCGGTCTGGGAAGATCCCACATGTTGCGGAGTGGCTGGGCCCGTGAGTCATGGCCGATGAGCCTGCGCGTCTGGAGCCCATGCTGCGCAACGGGAGAGGCCACAACAGTGAGAGGCCCGCGTACCGCAAAAAAAAAAAAAAAAAAATTCCTACAACTCAAAAACAATGACAACAAAAAGGAACCCGATTTAAAAATGGGCAAAGGACTTGAATCGACTTTTTTTTCCAAAGAGGATATACAAATGCCAGTAAGCACATAAAAACATGCTCAACGTCACTAATCATTAGGGAAATGCAAATCAAAACCACAAGGAGATACCACTTCACACTCATTAGGCTGGCCCTATTTAAAAAATAAGATAAAATAACAAGTGTTGGTCAGGATGTGAAGAAATTGGAACCCTTGTGAACAGCTGAAGGAAATACAAAATAATGGTTCAACCACGGTGGAAAACAGTTCCTCAAAATATTAAATATAAAAGTACTATATGATTCAGCAATTCCACTTCTGGGTATACCCAAAAGAACTGAAAGCAGGGAGTCAGATATTTGTACACCCATATTCATAGCACCTTTATTCACAACAGCCAAAGGTGGAAGCAACCCAAGTGTCCATCCACACACAGATGAGTGGAAATCTATCACGCGGTAAATACACACAAGGGAATATTATTCTGCCTTAAAAAGTAAGGCAATTCTGACACATGCTGTGTAACGTAGATGAACCACAAAGACATTATGCTAAGTGAAATAAGTCAGTCACAAAAGGATAAATACTGTATGATTCCACTTATATGAGGTATGTCAAGTTCATAGAGACAGAAAGTAGAATGGATCTTGCCAGGGGATGGGGTAAGACAGATTATCACAACCTATCTCCAGAACTTTCTTCATTTTGCAAAACTGAAAGCCTGAGCCCACTAAACAGTAAGTCTCGGAGGTGGCGGCAGCTGAGACAACAGTGGTGGCGGCAGCGACGGCGGCTCTGGAGGCCCGCAGTCCCGGTCCTGGCTTCGGCCCCAGCCCCACCGTGGTGACGCTCGCTGAGCTGCAGGTGCTCCGGGCCGCCCTCCTGGCCACGGCCTCGGGCTACTCCGTCAGCATCGATGCGCGTGCTGAGGAGTGCTTCTTCGAGCGGGTCACCTCGGGCACCAAGATGGGTCTCATCTTCGAGGTGGCTGAGGGCGGCTTCCTGGACGTTGACGTGGAGATTACAGGGCCTGATAATAAAGGAATTTATACAGGAGACTGGGAGTCCAGGGGGAAATACACATTTGCTGCTCACATGGAGGGAACATATAAGTTTTGTTTTAGCAGTAGGATGTCCACCATGACCCCGAAGATAGTGATGTTCACCATTGATATTGGGGAGGCCCCCAGACAACAAGATATGGAAAGAGAAGCTCACCAGAGCAAGCTAGAAGAAATGATTAACGAGCTTGCAGTGGCGATGACAGCTGTAAAGCATGAACAGGAATACATGGAAGTTCGGGAGAGAGTACACAGAGCAGTCAATGACAGCACAAACAGCAGAGTGGTCCTTTGGCCCTTCTTGGAAGCTCTTGTTCTAATTGCCATGACACTGGGACAGATTTACTATCTGAAGAGATTTCTTGAAGTCCGGAGGGTTGTTTAAAAAGCCTTTTGCTGATGATCCCAAACTCATAATTCACTATTTACCAAACGTCTTGGTCATAATAATGTCATTAGTTTCTATGTTTTTATTTTCTAAACTGTACACTCACAGCTTCTGTTTCTTTGCGATTAACAGATATTGGGGGAAAACACTTTTTTAGGAAAGTTATAGAGAAATTTGACATGTGATTGGCATGATTTCATATTTGAATTCTTCCTCCATTATGCAGGTCCTTCCAGAACTCAAACACTGTAAGTGGCATATAGGTGCATAGTCCTTATGATATCTTCTTTCCTTTTGTTTTCATAAAATGCAGCTTGTTCAGGATAGTACTTTACTGATAGCACTTTACTAAAATGACTGCATTCTTGGGATCTCTTATCCTGCAGTTCAAGTCATTAAAGATTCACTTTGTTCAGTCCTTATGAGAAACAACAATCTGAACCTTGACATTTTTTGTCCAGCCTAATGGCACAGCTCTGTGACTTAGAGGATGCTACCTGGTTGGTACTTTTATACTTTGTCTATCTTGCTTTTGCTTTAAAGATAAGACTTAAACCAACAACCTTTTTCCCCTTTAAAGTTTTACTTTGAACCTCAGAACTCAATCGCCTCCACTTAAAATTGTTGATACAAGCAGCTAATAACCATTTTTTGGTTTCTGCCTAACCTTGTAAGAAGTGTCTATTAAAGCCAATTCTCTGGGTGTTGCAGTGAATGGTGGTTCTCTTTCTTTCTACGCTGGCTCATCCACTTTCTCTACTCTTGGCACGGAGGAGGTATGCATTCACATAATTGGAAAAATTTGGATTTCTGATGCCAAAGGGTTAAAAGCCTCTTGGATTCCTTTGCAGTGATATACAGCCACTATTTTATTTTTGATCACTGGCATTTGGCCACTGTTCAATTAGTGCACTGAACATTACTGTCAGTACTAGGGTGTTTGTTTCTGTTTTTCTTGGGTCTTTCTTTTTTGGCACATGTGAATTTTGTTTTGTATAAAACGAAATGACTTTCTCTGATGATGGGTTTAAAATTTAAATTTAAATCAGAGGGTTTAAACCCTCTGATGATGGGTTTAAAATTAAAGGAGCATCTAGTTTTGGTGTGGGGATGATCCAGGATTATGTTGTGACTGATGTATATTAGCTACTTGTACATTATTTTTGGATCTTTGCAAGGGGAAAA